AATGCGGGATAAGCGTTGCTTCTGCTTCTAATGTAGCAGTCAATAATCGACGTACTTTTACACAGTCGTATATGTAATTGCAAATATCCTTCAATAAAGGAAGCAAAGATGAAATTGTGTTTTCGCTTTATATGAATATAAACGAAAAAAAGCACAGGTAGATGAATCAGGATGAATGTTCTTATATAATAGTTAGTATTTTTGGTTATTGAGTAAACATAAAACCCGCACCAAAGAGTGTATTTTTGACGCTCTTTGTCTGAATGCAATACGGATTTGGTGAATAGTTGATCAACTGCCGATATACTGCAAAAATACACTCTCTTCATATCAGCCAGAAACGTATCTTTTCAGTCGCTAATTTCGTACTGCTGTTTTTATACACGTCAAAATCTGACAAATTTTGTCTTTCTAGAATTATTTCTTTTTGTAATTAGTTATCTCACAGTAAGTCAGTTCAAAGATGTAATTAATTGTAAGGCAATTTTTTTTTGAATTTTATTTCTGCTACAGGTAAGTTTCGTCATCTTTTTTGTGCGCAAAATAGACTGAAGTTTCCGGTATGATTATCGTCTGTTCTGACTTACTGCCTTTTTAAAACGTTGTGATCTTTACCAAAAAATGACCCACAATATCTGTTTTCCTCAAAAATTATCGCTACATTAAACAATTATCTATAGCATAAATTTTGTAGATTTTTACAGCTTCTAAGATTACTAATGTATATTAGAAAAAAAGAAACTGTGTACTACAAAATGTATTGCAAAAAGTAAATTATTAAAAAACAGTAATGTGCTTTTCTACGAAGGCGTTAGTTAAAATGAACAATAAGCGCTTATTTCAAACACCACTCTTAGAAGAATCAGTTGTTGTAGTGGACGAGCATGCAGCCAATACAGTTGTTGGCCGTTTTCTCCTTGAAATTTTTGATTCCGACTAATGCAGAGTCACAAGTTGTAACAACTACAGCTTCTTCTTCGTTAAAGAAACGACAAGCAGCGTACATCTGCGGAGTTGAGCCTTACAGATTCTACTCAAACGTTCGTAAGTTTCATTAGTGATATGCTTTTTTTGCTACTAGTTTTCCTCAGAGATCAACATTTCACTAAAACTCCACAGCACGAATTAGAATTGAAGTAGCAGAATACAACAGTTATGTTTAATTTGTGCCATATTAGTTTGCTAGAAAGTATAAGATGACACGTTTTTAGTGGTAAACTGAAAGATGTAACAGCAAATGTGATAGAATTTCTTTAAACCACAAAATCAGAGGTGAACTTAGTGCTAATTGCTGGTCACATTGAACAGACATTTAGCGTTGATCACAGCATTGTTTATTATAAAACTATGAGATACTTGATCATTTTTTTTTACTTATAAAATTTTAAAGACACTGAAAATAACCTAGAAAACTGGTTCCTAATTATAATAAAGTATCAATTAGTTGGTTCCGTAAAAATTTTCGTGCAAAATTTTTTTTTTGTCAATAATCGTAAAAATACGTGCATTATTTATGAATATGCCTAAATAGGTGATTTAGAATATGAAAGTTACTGTTTGAAAATCAAAAAATTTAACCATTGGTCATTTTGTCAACTAATCTTATATCTTATTAATGTTTTTTACAGCTATCAGATAATAAACCTTATTTATCCATCTAAAATAACGTCTTCATTTTTTATTTTTTGTTTATTTATTTTTTCTAACAGGCTCGTTTTATATGAAGCATATTAAAATTCTGCTAAAACGATCTTGCAGTGGCTTTAAATGAAAACAAGCTTTATTTTAAATTTTTAGTTGAAATTCAATTTTTCTTTCTGGTTTTTAACCATCTACTTACATTGCAGTTAGCGTAACTACTGCAGAAAATTAAAATTACTTTCCGAGGAGGTCACCGATTAATATTTTTATATCACTTTATTACTTTCAGTTGAAGTCATACATGTTTTGATTTTGTTCAGTCTTCTGTGTGCTACTTTTATAAACTAATTAAAATTTAAACAGTCTTTGCGACTGCTTATATCATTCTTAAGTTTGAGAGCTAGTTCAGTACAGCAAGTTTATCTGTCTTAAATAGCTGACCAAGTGTGTAAAAATTCAACAGCATTTGGTGAAGAAAATAACTGTTCATTACTCCTTTTTTTTTCAACAAACGTTTAGATCTTAAGCTCAAATTTGTTTGCTAAGACAATTTAGAGTTGTGACAAAATTTTGGCATTAAAATTAGCTTATTAAAAGGTTGCAAACTTTTAAACTCTGTTTATTACTGTAATATATTTGTCGACAAAAAAAATGCTGTAGATAAGTGCATAAATTGAAAACGACTTTGACTATTTTCTATTTTTCGTGTACAATAGTAAGGTCTATTTGATGTCTACTCGACGTATTCAGATACTGATGTAAAGTATATTATAAACTGTAAACCGGAAAAAAAAGAAGGAAAAGGAAGAAAAAATATTGTTTGCAATTTGTTTTTGACAATTTTAGGATTGAGTATTGAAATAAGTGCTTTAAGTCTCTTCTATCACAAAGTTGAAATTTGCATTTAGAAGACTGTGAAAAGGTTGTCTAATTCAGCTATACCAAAAATATAAGTTTTTTTACACATTCTGCTAAATATTTAACATAAAGCTTCAAATGAAATTTTGTTAAAGATTTTGGCAAAAAAACTGTCTGATAAACAACAAATTTTTGACTTTTACATATATTTTACAGAAACTTCTAAGAGAGAGAAGAAAAAGAGAACCTTATTGCGCTGACAATAGTATCTGTTCAAAATTTGCTATTCACTTTATCGGCTATATATTTAACGACTTATCTAAAATGCAGAAATAAATTTATTTATTATTTTTTCTTTTTTTTTTTAAATTAAAATTTTTATAAAGTTTACTTTACTTAGTCATTGTCGCTTATGTAATGGCAAAAAATTTTGCCAAAAAAAATATAAACTGTCTTGTAATCATAGTCAAAACAATAATATATCATTAAAAAGTTTTATTGAAGCATTCAACAGTTGCATTACGTTCATAAAATTATTGAAAATTTAATAAAAAAGCTCAAATATTTATTTTCAGTAAGTTATTATTGAATCAATCAAACAACATTATGCTACTTTAAGGTTAAAAACCACAAGGAAAAACAAACGAAAAGAATTTTTGCTGTTAACAGTGACGTGGAATCCAAAAAACTATATCAAAAAGAACTGTTTTTTTACTATAAGTGTAGTAGTATAATTTTTAAAATTAAATGTAATTAAAAAGATGTCTATCAAATTTTTTTTTACCATTTTTAAGAACCGTTTTCTATCTGTAAATAATAATTTAAACAATGTTTCGGTAATAAAAAATAATCAGAAGAAATTTTTCTTGACTTTTTTTTTTTGGTGAAGCTTAAAACAGAACTGAGTGCCACTTATTTCAATAATACCTATAAATTTTGGTTTACATTTAACAGAAATCTATGCATCGGTTTTGATAATTTCATTGCTTATGCATTTTATAGACTTTTTTGTCCTTTTCTTAAGCTGGTTGACACTTATTATTTAGCTTAAAACGCTTTTTTATTAAGTATGAAATACCAGTCAACAACTAACATATTATCTTTAAATAATAATAATACTCTATTTATTTTTACTTCCTCCAAAAAAAAAAATTGGTTTAATTTTTGTTAGTCTATATTTTCTGCTATTGTTTTTTGTAGGATTATTTTGCACTTAAAAAGTGAAAAAATTATTGTTTTATCAATGACATAGAAAATTATACTTTTTCTTTCCATGTTCTTTTGCTTAAGATAGATTAAAAGTAATTAAGTTTATCTCAATTTACTCAAATATACAGTTTTTGGTGCTTTAACAGTTAGAAAAGCTGAATAATACAATTGGTGTTAAACTGCAGTTAAAAAATTTAAGAAATAAAAAAAATATTAGAAAATTTTTTACCGTTTAGCGTAAACCATCTGTAGATTTTTACAAT